AGCAGGGCTGCTTGTGGTGGGAGACAGGGGCGGAGAGGACTCACCAGGGTCTCCAAGGTACAGGGATGCTTTGAGCCTGGGGTCTGTGGTGTGCTCCTTGCTGCAGTCCTGCTGTGTGGTCTCATGGTGTGAGGAGGCGGCGCCATCTTGGCTGCAGGGGCTGAGAGCTGGGAAAAAGCTTGTCAGCTTTCCCGGCTTCCCTGGTGATCTGCGGCATCTGGGCATTTTCCCTGGTGATCCAGAGGAGACCTGCTTTCCCTTATCAGTGCGGGGGAGAGGTCTGTGATGTCGCTGGGTCCGGTGTAAGCCGGGTTATGGCTGGCGGGGATACGGAGCTCTCTTCACAAAGCTGTCATCCCGGAGCCGCCTGCGCATGCGCATGCGCCCCCTATTTTTAATATATTTTTAGGTGTTGGTAGTTGTTAGTAGTTCTTGACATTCTCCTTTTGCGTCGAGTCTCTAGGAGGTGTGTATGATGTTTGCCTGTCCTTTTTTTTTTTTTTTTTTTTTGAGAGAGTGTGGGGTAGTCTACCTGTAGCAAACTCCAGTGAGTAATCCTTTCTTGAAATTGGCCACATGAAGGTCCTTTTATCATTTTAGAAAATCTGTTATACTTTCAAAATATGTATGGACTTACAGTGGATATAAAAAGTCTACATACCCCTGTTAAAATGTCAGGTTTCTGTGATGTAAAAAAATGAGACAAAGATAAATCATTTCAGAACTTTTTCCACCTTTAATGTAACCTATAAGCTGTACAACTCAGTTGAACAACAAACTGAAATCTTTTAGGTGGAAGGAAGTAAAAATAAAAAACTAAAATAATATGGTTGCATAAGTGTGCACACCCTTAAACTAATACTTTGTTGAAGCACCTTTTGATTTTATTACAGCACTAAGTCTTTTTGGGTATGAGTCCATCAGCATGGCACATCTTGACTTGGCAACATATGCCCACTCTTCCTTGCAAAAACTGTCAGATTGCGAGGTCATCTCCTGTGCACAGCCCTCTTCAGATCACCCCACAGATTTTCAGTTGGATTCAGGTGTGGGCTCTGGCTGGCATTCCGAAACTTTAATCTTCTGGCGAAGCCATTCCTTTGCTGATTTGGATGTATGCTTTGGGTCGTTGTCATGCTGAAAGGTGAAAATGTTCCTCTTCATGTTCAGCTTTCTAGCAGAAGCCTGAAGGTTTTGTGCCAATATTGACTGGTATTTGGAACTGTTCATAATTCCCTCTACTTTGACTAAGGCCCTAGTTCCAGCTGAAGAAAAACAGTCCCAAAGCACGATACTGCCACCACCATGCTTCACTGTGGGTATGGTGTTCTTTTGGTGATGTGCAGTGTTGTTTTTATTCCAAACATATCTTTTGGAATTAAGGCCAAAAAGTTCAACCTTGGTCAGTCCATAACACATTTTTCCACATGCTTTTGTGAGACTTCCGTTGTGTTTTTGCAAAATTTATCCGGGCTTGGATGTTTTTCTTCGTAAAAAAAGACTTCTGTCTTGCCACTCTACCCCATAGCCCAGACATATGAAGAATACGGGAGATTGTTGTCACATGTATCATACAGCCAGTACTTTGCCAGATATTTCTGCAGCTCTTTTAATGTTGCTGTAAGCCTCTCCAGACCAGTTTCTTCTCATCTTTTCATCAATTTTGGAGGGACGTCCAGTTATTGGTAATGGCACTGTTGCTCCATATTTTCTCCCCTTGATGATGACTGTCTTCACTGTGTTCCATGGTATATCTACTGCCTTGGAAATTCTTTTGTACCTTTCTCCTGATACTTTTTAACAATGAGATCCCTCTGATGCTTTGGAAGCTCTCTGCGGACCATGGCTTTTGCTGTAGGATGCGACTAAGAAAATGTCAGTAAAGACCTACTAGAGCAGCTGAACTTCATTTGGGGTTAATCAGGGGCACTTTAAAAGATGGCAGGTGTGTACTTACTCCTATTTAACATGATTTTGAATATGTTTGCTTAATTCTGAACACAGCTACATCCCCAGTTATAAGAGGGTGTGCACACTTATGCAACCACATTATTTTAGATTTTTATGTTTACTTCCCCCTCTAAAAGATTTCAGTTTGTTTTTCAATTGAGCTGTACAGTTTATAGGTCACAGGTGGAAAAAGTTCCGAAATTATTTATGTTCATCTCATTTTTTTACATCACAGCAGCCTGACATTTTAACAGGGGTGTGTAGACTTTTTATATCTACTGTATACATGACTTTAAAGTGGAACTTCACTGCATGTGAGCACCACAAAGCAAAAACGCAGTTTAACCACTTGCCTTTCGCCATATAGCAGAAATACTGCTACAGGGTGGCAGGACTGCGCTAAATCACGTATATATACGTGATTTGCATTTCCAGGTAGGGTCGTACACGCCGCCATTGGCGGCTAGGGATGTCAATCACCGGGTCCCACTAGCACCTGACGATCATTGGGGAAAGCTGACAGGGGATAGACCTGAGTGAATAACACAGTTTTCTCTCCTTTCAGCATGGACATGCTGTGTTGCACCTCTCTGAACAGCAGAGAGGTACAAAACAGCATGTCGCCAAAGTAAAACACACACACAGCCTCATAGTAAAACAGCACACAGTTAACCCTTTGATTGCCCTAGATGTTAACCCCTTCCTGCCCAGTGTCATTAGTACAGTGTCAGTGTTTTTTATTAGCACTGATCACTGTAATAGTGTCACTGGGAATGTCAGTGGCAGTTAGTAAGTTCTCACCCAGTGTCAGAATGCCTGCTGCAGTCCCGCTATAAGTCGCTGATCACCGCCATTACTTGTATAAAAAAAAATTCCAGTATATATACCGCCATTTGTAGATGCTATAACTTTCACGTAAACCAATAAATTTACATGTATTGGGATTTTTTTTTTTTAGCAAATACATGTAGCAGAATACATTTTGGCCTAAATTTATGATGAAATTAAATGTTTAAAATTTTTTTATTGGATTTTTTTTTTGAGTTTTATAGCAAAAAAATCTAAATCTTGTTATTTTTTTTTCAAAATTGTCAGACTTTTGTTTATAGCACAAAAAATAAAAAACGCAGAGTTGATCAAATACCACTGAAAGAAAGCCCTGTGGGGAAAAAAATTACATAAATTGAATTTATGTACAGCATTGAATGACCGCGCAATTGTCAGTTAAATTATCACAGGGTTGTATCGTAAAAAATTACCTAGTCTGGAAGGGGAGTAAATCCTCTGGAGGGCAAGTGGTTAATTTATTAATATTTAAAGCAAGCTGCCCTATCCATCCATTTATTTTGCTAAGAAATCATATTGAAAGGCATTTCTGGCCATGGCCATCTAGAATAAGGGCAGATGATTAATATAGCATTTACTTCCTGGAATACATCTGCCCTTAGCTGAGGCATGTAGACCGGAGAGTGTGCTTAGCGAAGAAAACCCCTCCTGAAGATTCAGGAGATGTATGACTTCATTTGCATAGGCATGGAAATCAGGAAGTAGCAGAAGAAATGTAAGAAGTTTAAACCAAGTAAATATAATTTGTATAAAAAAGTGCAGCGCTAAAAACACAATGAAAAAGTAAATGTATCAAGTGGAACAATAAAGTGCAACACATAATTATATATAAAACAGTGCAATTCTCTTTACAATTGCTTCAGTCCTTAAGTAGTCAAAGATGTTACCAGTGCTGTGTGCTGGCTCCAGGTACAGAAAATGACCCTGACAACTAATAAGCAATTGTAAAAAAAAAGTGCTACCGCTATGCCTTTAGCTGTCAAAGACATTGTTTATGCTTTGTGCAGGCTCTTGGTGCAGACAATGGCTATGAAAAAAAGTTGCAGCCCCTGTATGTAGAAAGCAGCACATGTGTGGGATTGGAACATAGCCTCACCCCAAACTGTTTTTCTGTTTTTCAGCCGTGTTACTTCATTCAGCACCAACTTTTTCTACTGCGACAGGCAAAACGTGTTCATATTTTTGAGACTCTTCTGTAATGCCATAGGAAGACATAAAATGTAACAAACGTTTTGTTTTTTACAGAACAGGAAAAGGTTAGAACACCAGTCAGGTTTTTATTGCTGTCAGAGTCATTGCTGGGCAGATTCACTCTTTTTTCTTTATTACCTGATTACCTTATTTCAACCATTTTATGCTGTAGTTTTTGGTAAATACTAGAGGTGTAAACCACCTTATAGTTCCCAGTATCTTGCAGAGACTGTAGCAAGATAATGCTTCATTATTCAGGTCTAGGTACCTACCCTGACCTTTTAAGAGGGGGTTCCAATCTCCCTATTGGCTTTTTCATTCCTCTTTTGAACCCTATTCGCATTCCTTAATTCCTGCTATGATAGAGTTACCTTAATAAAAAGTGGTTACACTAACATACAAGAAAATAACAATCAGACTCTAAACACATCTAAGACATCTACTACAGGGTTAACATACAGTGCTCAGCATAAATGAGTACACCCCTTTTGAAAAGTAAGATTTTAATCAATATCTCAATGAACACAAGAACAATTTCCAAAATTTTGACAAAACTGAGTTTTATAGAATATTTGTTTAGCTCATTACATGAAAGTAAGTTTAAAGCGGAGTTCCAGTCAGTTTTGTGTTTATTAACCTCCCTGGCGGTATGATTATTTCAGATTTTTGGTGCTGAAAGCGCTTTTGGCTGGGGGGGGGTACCATTATTTTGCATGGAAATTTGGGATTTTATATTGTAGGCCTGTAATTCTTAGGAATAACTCACTGAAATCTGTCTGAACAAGAGTCTAGTAAACATCCCCGGTAGGATAAAACTTAAAATACGAAATCATAAATTATAATTTAATAAATAATCATAAAAAATAATAATATAATAATAAATTTAATTCAATAATATAATCAAACCAAAAACACTGAAATTTGAAATAGAGCGCCAAGTTCGCACATCACTGAGCAGAGTCGCAAAATTGTTTTCAGTGTCTGATGACGAATTTCCTCACGAATCATCACTCAATTCTGCAAGAGGTTCTGATTTACTATCGCTGTTCTCTAGGTGGTCTAAAACCGCTTTTGACCTAAAGGGACACTTTTTGGACGCCATGGACGTTTCTCAGTTTCCAGGTAGAAAGAACAGTAAAAATGCAGGCAGGGCACAGGACAAAGCACTAGGGACAAAATGTATGTGAAATGGTTTGATACAGTAATGATTTACTATGTGATTTTAGTGAATGTCACTTTTTGTCATTTTCAAATTTCCCGCCGTTCCGTCCCCCGTACGTCCCAACGCTTGCAGGGAACGGACCCCAGAAGACAGATGCCGGCATCTGCCAGATTACATTGCCGGGAACACTGCAGGAGGGACATCGCGGGAGCGCAGGACAAGGTAAGTAAACAAGGGATCGCGGAGCAGCGCTGCATGGTATTCCCGAGTGTAGCTCGGGGTTACCACTTGTGGTACTGAAACTTTACCCTGAGGCACACTCAGGAATACCGCCAGGGAGGTTAAAAGTTAGCAGCTACAAAAACTGTAGCTGCTGACTTTTAATAAACAGACCCACCTGTCCCAGGATCCAGCAATGTGCTCACCCACGCCGTCCCTTCTCTGCCTCTTCTCTCCCCAGGGCTGGCATCACAACTTTGGGCACCAGGCTGTGATAGCTTGCGGCTTCACAGCCGGGTGCCCACTGCACATCTCGAGTCACGCTGCGCATTCTGATTGGTCTGGCAGTCTTCTGAGGCTTGTGAAGGTTCCCAGGAGACTGTGGGAGGAAGGAGGGGGGCAGAACTTCCGACTCTCTTCTCTTTTAGAGCCTGGATGCTGGATGGAGAGTGATGCTCAACTTGTCTCTTCAGAATTCCCACAGGTTTTCAATTGGGTTCAGATCAGGAGACTTGGCCACTGAATCACAATTACCCTGTTCTTCAAAAATGCAACAATGGCCTTAGATGTGTGTTTTGAATCATTGTCATGTTGGAAAAGTGCACGACAACCAAGAGCATGGAGTGATGGTAGCATCTCTTTCAATATAGAGCAGTACATCTGTGAATTCATGGTACCATCAATGAAATGCAGCTCCCCAACACCAGCAGCACTCATGCAGCCCCACAGAAGGACACTGCCACCACTATGTTTCACTGTAGGCACCATGCATTTTTCTTTGTACTCCTCACCTTTGCGATACCATACAGTTTTGAATCCATCAGTTCCAAAAACGTTTATCTTGGTCTCATCACTCCAGAGTACAGAGTATTACTCCTCTTTTTCAGTATGGGCCCTGGCAAATTCTAGGCGGGCTTTTTTGTGCATGGACTTGTAAAGAGAGGCTTCCTTCATGGATGACACCTATGCATGCCATTCCTCTGCAGTGTATGCCATATTGTGTCATGGGAATCACCCCAATTTGGATTTCTACTTATTTAGCTAACTGCAGTGAACTTGCATGGCGATTTTCTTTAACCCTTCTCATCAGAAGATGCTTCTGTTGAGGTGTTAACTTCCATGGACAGCCTGAACATCTCTGTGAGATGGTTGCAATTCTATCTTTGGTAAATTTTTGTACCACTTTTGCTGCCGTATTCTGACTGATAAGTAAAACTTTGCTCATCTTCATGTAGCCTTTCTTGTGTGAGATTTTCTTTTTCAGGCCTTGTGACATTTCTCTTCCATGTGGTGAGATTGCTGACAGCATGAAATGGGAAGGGGTTTTTTTTTTGTTAAGTAATGCCTGTCTATAATCAACTGTCTGCTGGACATCTGTTTAATGAATAATTAGACTCACCTGTTGTTGAATTCTTGTTAATTGGATTTTGTTGTCTAAAATTTAACTTTGCTCCTAAGACTTTCATTGGGGTGTATTCATTTTTGCAACATGGTCTTGAATGAATTTGTTAGGTAAAATACTTTTTTGTGTGTGCAAATGAACAAATCTTGTTTGCAATCAATGGCCTGCAATGGTTGGGGAACATAGTGGAAGGGGGGAAATTGTGCACTTTTGACAGCTTAACATCTAAATGTAACCTACCAAACTGATATTTGTTTAGGTACCAACTGTGGCATGTTTTTATCAGCCAGTTTGGGTCTGTTAACCTGGTCCTTCAATCTTCTACTTTGGAACAACTTTTGGTAGATGACTCCAAGACCAAGCCAGTTTCTGAAATATATAAAGAATTATTTGTGACTTGTCCTAAACCTATAGGTAAATGTAAAGAGACCTGGCATTTATTGCTGGCTGATATCTAAAAAGAGTGGGAAATTTGAGTGTAGAGTGAAAGTTTTACTTTTGATTTTTGGTGATTGCTGGTGCTTTTAGTTGTTTTATTTTCTTCTTTGGGTCTTGCTAATAGCTTCTACTTTTTTAAATCACTTGTTCTGTCACTTTTTAACCACTTCAATACTAGGCACTTTTAATCCCTTCCTGCCCAGGCCAATTTTGATTGGTGACAGCAGGTCACATGGTACTGGCAACGGGGCCGGTACACAGATCTGTCATCAGCCGTGTCTGAGATGCACGGCCGGTGACAGATCTCACCACAGCGCGGCCCTGCAGGCAGGCACAATGCACGATCTGGGAAGGACGCCATATAGCGTCCTCCCGGAGGGACGAAGTGTTTGCCCGGCCACCATTTGGTCGGGCGGCAACTGGTTAAATAGCATTTGTTTTTCTTCCTTTCCTTGTCTTGGCTAATTAAGGAGAGGGTTTATTGGTCACAGGTGAAACAGGTCCTATATAACTTGCTGTAGAGCTCACTCTGAGCTTGCCTGTATTTTGCTTGCTGGACCTTTGACTAAGTGGACATTTGATAAGTGGAGTTAAAAACTGGAGTTGAAAACAGTTGATTATAGCAGGTTTCTAACAGGAGTCTACTAACCTATAAGTGACAACTGATATTTCCTGTTAATATTGTAACGGGGGGCTAGCAGGGTGGAAGGTTTTGTGCAGTGCATAGTGTGCCATATGTATGCAGCAATGGAGCAACAGCTCCAGTATGGGTACCGCTGTGACAGATGTGAGCAGATGAGCCTTCTAAAAACTTGTGTTAGTGATCTGGAGGAGCAAGTTGCAACACTGGGCAGAACCGACAACCTTGAAAGTCTTCTGCTCAATCAAGATTATCAGGTACGAAGATGGTTTACTGTAATGAGGGGGAGTGGTAGAGGCTCACAGAAAAGGAAGGCCGGCCCTGGGTTTGTATACCCAAACAGATTTGCCAAGTTGGGTAAAGATGTGGAGGTGGCAAGCTCAGGGTTGGCAGCCCTGGATGTCACTGCTATCCCTAACAGCCGGGAGAGCAGACCATCTGGAGGGGTGGTGAGGGTAGTGCAGAAAGGCCTAGACAGCTGGTGGTAGTAGAGGATTCTATAATCAGAAGGACAGATAGATTAATTTGTTGCCAGGATCGCCTCAACCGAATGGTTTGCTGTCTCCCTGGTGCCAGGGTTCGGCATGTGGTGTACCGGGTTGATAAATTACTGGGAGGGGTTGGGCATGACCCAGCTGTCTTGGTTTATGTTGGAACCAATGAGAGAATACATGGAAGGTGGAGGCTCCTTAAGAATCAATTTAAAGGACTAGGCTGCAAGTTGAAGGGAAGGACCTCCAAGGTGATATTCTCTGAAATATTACCTGTGCCATGCGCAACTCAGGAAAGACAGGGGGAGATTAGATAACTCAATGCATGGCTGAAGACCTGCTGTAAGAGGGAAGGATTTGGGTTTCTAGAGCACTGGGCTGCCTTTTCATTGGTGTGCAACCTATATGCTAGAGATGGTTTGCACCTAAATGGAAGGGAGTCTGCTGTGCTATGGGTTTATGGAAAGGCTGGTGGAGTATTTAAACTAGGATCGAGGGGGTGGGAGAATTAGATTATAATAGGGTAGACAGATTAGACATGGGTCAGTACGTATTATTGAGTGGAATGAGGAAAGATGGGGGGAAGGCTATGGCAGATAAGAAGGTTCCCATGTTGCAAGCAACCAGTGGAATTGGTATCATTTGTATGAAAATAAAAAATATGCAATATACTGGTGAACAAGGTGTCAATGAATTAAAGTGTTTGTTCACCAATGCCAGAAGTCTGCCAAGCAAAATAGGTGAGTTGGAAGCGTTGGTGCATGAAGAGAACTATGATTTAATTGGTATTGCTGAATCTTGGCTTCATTCTTCACATGACTGGTCCATTAATATTCCTGGCTATGTTCTCTTTCGGAGAGACAGGGTTAATAGGTGGTGTCTGTCCCTTTGTGAGAAGTGATCTCAGAGCGAGTGTGAAAGATTACCTAGTTGATGGAGAGTGTGATGAGGCTCAAAGTATTATGGAACTGCACATGGGGGTGCGTACTACAAAGGTAATCATTGGAGTTTGTTATAGGCCTCCCAGTGTTAATGAGGAGGTGGAGACTCAGCTCCTTCCACAGATCAAAATGGCTACAAGGGCTGGGACAGTGATAATAATGGGGGATTTTAACTACCCGGAAATTGACTGGAGTAAATATTTAAACCTACTACAGGACAATTTTATGGTACAGTTCATAGAGGCCCCTACTAGGAATGATGCTCTGCTGGACCTGGTAATTTCAAACCATGCAGAGCGTATTACAAATGTCCATATAAAAGAACATCTGGGTAGCAGTGACCATAACATGATTTAATTTATTGTTAGCTGTAAACAGCGAGCACATACGGGAAAAATAAAAACACTCAATTTTAAGAGAGCTAATTTTCCAAGGCTGAGAGCTGCTCTCCAAGACTTAGACTGGGAGGGAATATTGGCATCAATGAACACAACACAGAAATGGGAATTCTTCAAAAAGACTGTGCGTGAACACACTGCAAAATATATTCTCATGGGCAACAAGTTTCAAAGGCTTAAAATCAAACCTATGTGGCTTACGGCCAAAGTTAAAAAAGCTATAGATAATAAGAAAAGAGCTTTTATTAAATATAACAATGAAGGAACACTATCATCGTTTAAACATTACAAAGAATATAACAGAATATGCAAAAAGGAAATAAAGGCCGCAAAAATTGAAAATGAACGACAGATTGCAAAAGATAGCAGGATCAACCAAAAAAATAATTCAAATATATTAATAGTAAAAAGGTTTGGTCCGAGCATGTAGGCCCTTTACAAAATAATCTAGATTGGGTGACTGGGGACAAAGAGAAGGCAAATTTAATAAATAAACTCTTCAGCTCTGTGTATACAAAGAAGCATGGGGGAGCTCCTGTCCATAATAAGCATGGTATTGACACAGCTCCAGATGATCCACATTGTCTCACAATTGATATGATCCAAAAAATTTAGACAGAATAAAGGTGAATTGAGCTCTGTCATTTCAAAGCCATTGTTTCTAAGTTTTAGGG